CTCCTAACTGGCGAATTTAGGAGCAAATCCTAAAAATAATGGGCGTGTCACTCCTAACTTTAGGACTCCTAATTTTTTTCACTAAGAGTAATTCACGAAGCATTTTAGCCCTAAAAGTAGCACCTAAGTCTGGGACAGCTTAAAAGAAGTCGAGAGGACTCCTAACTCACTAAGACCTATTCACAAAGGATCGTAGCGCACACCACCGCCTCTCGCAGTCGTCCGGGCTCCGCGACACAAGCGGGAATGCTGCATTGATCTGCAAACAAATCCTCTCCCATGTCTCACGCTTAGTTTTGCTTGATATCCCAGTGCCGAATTTCCCTTTTATTATGTTTTTTTTTTCAGCACCAGCTGGGCCAGCAGCAGTAACTGATCCTGCGTCCAGTTGGGCTTTCTTTTCCGTTTTGGCGAGTTCATAATCCACCGTCATTCAACTATTACATTACTTCAATAGGAGCAACATTTCCTTGCTTTAAGTAGTCTATTTAGGCTAATGTCAATTAACCAAGCAAGTGTTAATGCAAGTGTTGTTTTTTCAAGGCAAGTGGCGGTTTTCATTGGGGTATTAGGCTACCTTGATTTAATTTAATTTACGACTTTTCTCTCTCTCTCTGCCTTTTTAGAATTACACTTCACTGGGGCCTGCACAAACATGTCATTATATATGCATTTCGATGGCATTACTATTATTATTTTGTGTAGGACACAGACATATTTAGATGTGGTAATTCCATGATTTGTTGCGTCTGTGTTATGTTCCGCATGATGGCCCTGTCATCTAACAACCAATCACCGTGATCATTGCGAGAAAGCTTGTCATCCATAGCAACGAAGACTCACTCTTAGTTTAGGAGTTGTCATTTTTCCTTACTAAGAGTAGGTCTGAAAGGCGTTGTGAATAACTTTTAAGAGAAAACTCCTAGCTAAAATATTTTAGTGCGATTTAGGAGTAGGCCTACTTCATGGTAAGATAAAATTCTTTGTGAATACGGCCCCAGATCAATATTTATAAAGGACTTTTGGGTTGCCACTATTATATTTCTCTCCCTCAGTTTCTCTGTATGGCTTTATCACTCTCTCACAGACAGCTGAGACTTTCAGCACTGCCACGACGAGTGAACAGGAAATGTCTAAATGTGTTGAGAATGTGCAGGATGAAATATGTGATGACTGTACAATCTCACAGTACAGAACATTTGAGCCACACACACTGTGAACATTTTTTTCACTCTGATTAGTCAGCATATGTTTTGTCCGCGTGTTGTGTGACACAACAACAACTTATGACTTAAGTCCCCGTGAACCGGAAGTTGCAAACGACTTTTCTCCAGTGTTGTGACGTATTTCCGAGAGAAACGGAATACTAAATGAGGCAAAATAGTGGGCGTGGCTTTTTCCAACTAGCACCTGATTGGATCTAGAAAAGTAGGTGTTTTCATTCAGCCTGTCTACTGTCAGTTGGAGGGGCGTGGTTACGGATGTTAAGCAGACACCCAAACCGTCAAACCTACGTCATCAAGGAAGGTCCTCCAATGCAGAGGGGAGGGGAAATTTCAGATTTTGATTAAAGATTACGAAGCCCAAATTTTTTTTTGTGTGTGGATTGACTTGCATGGATGAATTGTTTACCACAAAACGATCAATTTAGGCAAACAAAGTAAGTATGGTCAATTTTGAATTCATGGGGACTTTAAATGTGATTGAGTACACAGTCTTCCAAAGATATGCTTTGTGCAGTTAAATCCAGACTTAAGTGCTCTTAAAAAAAAAAAAAAAAAAATTTAAGTGATTTTTTTCTGTAAGTGATTTCTTTATTTAAATAACACACAATTAAATAAAATGGGGGAGATGGTTTAAAAACAGATGTTTCATAATTTGAATAGGTTAAATGTGAATATTAGCGCCCCCTATTGGTTCAAATGACACCTCAGAATTAGAAACATCAAACATGGCTAAAGCTCCATTTTATTGTGTGAATTAGAATCGAGTTTGAATGGTACAATATTATACTGTTGTGTATAACAAATTATGTTATAATTTATTATCATCTTAATTGACTTAAGATAACAATGACAGATGTAGATTATTTCCATCATATTTCTTTGATTAAATAAGAAAAATTCAAGATACTGACCATTACATAATTTAACCGTCTTGTCTAATTTCATAATCTAACCCATTTTTATATCCAACATACCAAAATCCCTTTTCTTATGTTGAAAACACTTCGGAGCAAAAATCGTAGCATATTCATGTGAGTATATTTAGTTTTCTTTCTTTCTTTAAAAAAAAAAAATCTATATCCATTCAAATATATTCTTAGTATAGGCAAAATATATAGTATATATTATCAAAAGAATTTCCACAATGACAACTGGTGCCCCAGTGTCCTCTGATTTTCCAATTGTATTCTTTTCTCTCTCTCGTCCTGTCATCCTCTTTATCTCTTTCCTTCCCTGGCTTAGATATTTTCTCACCTGCACTGCTGTGCTCTGTTCATCTTTCTTGGGCTTCTGTTGGTCTATTTCCTTTCTCTATCTCATGCAAAGTGTTGAGTTTCTGTGAAACAATGGGGACACCAGGGAGATTGGTACCAGGGGGTTGGGGGGAAGGAGGGGTGGATACATTTACCTTTGTAAGAGTAGCAAGGGACTCCACAGTGGCTCATCAAAGACCAGTCTGCTCAGGTGATCCCCAAGGCAGAGTGTGTGTGTCTGCTTTAAAGTCTTTGTATGCAGAGCCTGGATTTGAATAGAATCACACTACTGCTCCTTTTTTAAACAAATGACATTGCCTTACATCAGAATAGAACCAGTAGATCCTTCTATGACCCATCTTTGACCCCTCAAATTTAACTAATTGTGTTCTTATGATATACCGGACCAATTATATCAGTGACATTTTGCTGAGAAATATGTGGAGAATATCATGGTTAACATAGTTATCATGGTTCATAGTGTATTCTAATTTTACAGTGGAAAAATAATCATTGTCCAAACTTACTAATGTTATTTTCTTTTTGCTGCTGCTTCTAGTTCTAGCCTCACATGCAAACAAAATAGCTCATACAATCCTCCACTAGATGCCGCCAGACCCTTATTTCCGGAGCAGGAATAATAACACAACCGCTACCTCTTGTCTTAAAGGGATAGTTCACCCAAAAATAAAAAAAAATTGTCATTACTTACTCCTCTCCCTCAAATTGTTACAAATCTGTATGAGTTTCTTTCTTCTTCTGAACACAAAAGAAGATATTTTGAAGAATGTTGGTAACCAGACAGTTGACGACACAGGTTGACTTCCATAGTAAGAAAAAAAATACCATGGAAGTCAACAGGTGCTGTCTGGTTACCAACATTCTTCAAAATATCTTCTTTTGTGTTCAACAAAATAAAGAAACTCATACAGGTTTGGAACAACATAAGGGTGAGTAAATGATGACAAAATGTTTAATTTTTGGGTGAACTATCCCTTTAAATACTTGGGCCCACTGCTTTGACTATAAGGAAGACATGAGAATGTGTACATCTCCTATGTGAATATTTTCTTCAAAAAGTTATTTTGGCTCTGCTGCATTTGTGAAAATGAATGTGTTGTTTGTGAACTTTGCATAGGGCTTTTTACATACTTTTGACCTTCTGTCTGAATAAATGTAGCGTACCCTAAATTCTCATTTTGATTTATTTTAGTGTCAGATGGTCAATCAATTATTGTTTGACCTCAAATTATTTTTTGTAAAAAAGAAAAAAAGAAGTACAATATTAAATTCAACCAAGGCACAAGTGAAATTAAATTTGGCTAAATGTTTCATTGTCCTTACTACATGAAAAAAATAGTAAATGTACAAGTATGATTCTGTAGGCTACATCAATTATTATTGAATGGTTCTGCATAATATAGGCCAGGTTTAAAATGCAACACTCAATTCTATACAATATAGCAGGGTATCCTTGCTTCATTTCTGCATAAGGACTGCCCGGTGCATCTCTTAAATAATGAACAGAGTAGTTGGAGAACAGACAACAAAGTTATTTATAAGACTGTGTTAGGCTACATTGTCAAATTATGCATTGCCATTAACAGTTTAGAGACTGCCTCGCGGCTGTTAGTAGCCTAGTTGACATCAAAGCCACAACATTTCTTAGTGTTAGCACTGCCTGTAAGAGAGAGGCCAAGGCTAGTTCATTTAAGCCTGTAATGGTAAATCAAGGCAAATTGGACAGTATTGCATTGGTTAAATAAAGATTTACGGCGCCAGAGGTAATTGGCTTTCCATCTTGGCCAGATGTTCGCAGCTTCGATCGCGCCGAGAGACGCAGCAAATATAAGGTGAGAGCACGTGGTAGTGTTCAATTTAACAGATGCCTGTTTTCCTCTCGCATGAGCACATCTGTTATTTGGACTGTGTTTTTGCATCTATTGTCGTTTTATTTATAGATTGATGCTTGTAGACTGTCCATTTGTGTAAGCGCATAGGTGAATAATGACTAATAACTAATTTAAATTGCAGCAGGTTTAAATGCTGTGGATAAAGACGGCTTTTAAGTCTTTCAGCATAACTCAGCCGTGGTGATTATGGGCAATTTAAATTAGTTCCAAATAATCTGAAGTTGCCCAAACAGCCATCCATCATTCTGTCACATGCCACGCCCCCTCCCCGTTTATTGGCTGCGGGGGTAGCACCTATATGGCACGTCACCAGGAGTGACTTTAAAAATTTCTCCCTGTTCGTTCATGAGTATTTTCAGCGTAAACTGACGCCAGAAATAAGACGTTGCATCTCATAGGAGGTTTAAGGCACTAAGAAAGCGAGTTTGAATAAATATTAGTTTTAAGAAAGCGCCACGTGCAGGATCATGTGCAATAGGTCAGCATTAACATGAATGTGACGGTTGTGGCGGAGCGCTCCTAACCACAGGGACGATTTTGAAGTTTGTTGGAACACGCGACGCTCGGATTATCAAAAGCGCATTTTCTTCAACGATTTGTGGGTGGACGAAAGCCACTCTCACTGCTTAATACCGCGCAATAACTTTGAGAGATATTCCACCACCTTTGACTTCTTTCCAGACTACGTACAAATTACGGTGAGTAAATATCTTGTAAACATTTAATCACTTAACGTTAGTTAAACAGATTGTGAACTTGTAGGGTTTGAGAGTTTCGTTGTCTGTCTGACAGTTTCCCGTCAGTTCTGATCACGCACATCACAACTTCTGATCCTAAGATGTCATTTTGTTGTATTTCATCGTTTAGTTATGTGTAATTTAGCAGACGCCAAAACAATTTACTCTGCATTTTGATGTCAACAGCGTTGCAAGTGTCATACTTTACCAGCTGAGTTATAGACCAATTTAGAGTTATATAGGTGTTATTTTAATCTTTTTTAATTTTATTTTTTATTATGCACAAACTTTACATTGGTGCGTCTTGGCTGCTACTTCCCCGTGCAATAACTCTCACTCAATGGCTGTATCTCAAATCACAGCGAGCTGCCAACCTAGACATCTGGGCTGAGTTGGTGTCTAGGTACAAAATGCTGTCTAGGTAGGCAGCACATTATGTTTTGAGACGCAGGCTTTATGTGTGCTGTCACTGGAGCGGAGAATTGTGCACAATGGGGAGTTGTGCGCGGAGTGTTAATTAAAAAGAGACCCGTTTTAATGAAACGGCGAAGCGTGTAGTTATATGGCCCCAGAGCGCATTATTAAAAGAGAAGGATATACTGCTAATCTGCGGTGGTGCCAACCAGGGTTTGGTCATTTGCTTACTGGACTCGCTACTATTTTTAGAGGCTGTGAAGCATGGTGTTACGCTCATTTATTTTAATTATCACCGATTCGCACTGGGTTTGTGCGCAGTTATTTGTTCTCCTAACCAACGTGTTTTGACACTAAAAATTCACATTTACAGCATAAGTGAAATTGTATTAAAAAGGCGAAATTATACGGGCGTTCTCGCGTTAGTGAGTTTCTATGGAGACCGTGCGGTTAGTTTTCAACAGACGTTCAGCCCCACTAAAGCAAAAGTTGTGGCACAACCATAAAACATAATAGTGTGTTATTAAGACTTCTACACCATTAGGCTAGTAATTGATGATATGTGATTTGTCTAATAGTGTAGACCCATCATTTGCTCCGTCAAGCCGACACCAATCCATCAGTCTGCGCTCGGACAGCGACGGTATTGTGTTTCTCTTCATTAGCTTCTGTTTTTGCCTCTTATTTCATCAATCAGCTCGTTAGTCGAGTGGAACTGAACGAGCCTCCCCTGGCTGACCTTTCTGATGACAGCGTTTAAATAACGAGAGAGAAAGAGAAGAGTTTGGTCTGTTTCCAGTAGCTCTTCACTTCCAAACTAGCAGTGACTTGGTTGAATAACTTAGTTCAGTTTATTCATACGTTTGGGAAAACAGGGTGAATTCTCGACTTGATGACCTTGAGGTACAAGCTTTTTATTTGTATGAATGTTTTATTAATCTAATATTGCTCCAGTAACCTGTATAATATATAATTTACAAAGAAGATACTCTTTAATAAGTAAAAAAAAAAAAAAAAAGCTGTAGAGCTTTTACACATTCTCCACTTGTTTATCTCATAATCTTCTGCACATTTATCTACAACCATTTGCCCATAAATCACCTATATGCCCAGATTTTCCTGTTTTAAATTAGCAGCAACCTTTAAACAAACTTTGCACTCCTCTAGTCTAAGCAGTATGTATGCCATATTTTGCTAGCCTTCTAAGTAAGTTAAAGAATTGGTCACAACACAATGCAGACTGCCAAAGACATAGGCCTATAGCGTCACGACTCCTGCTACCCTGTGATAAGACACTACATTAAGCCTCATAGCTTAAGAAAGGTTGTCGCCAAACATTTCCAGTGAAGGATTAACTTACCTAAGTTATTAGAGGGATAATGTAATTGTTCAGTATTGAAACAGCCAAGCCTCAAAGCGTGTGATATTCCCCCAGGGTCCCATTCAACAGCATTGTCTCTCTAGCTCTCAGGTCTGCAGGAAAAGGATGATTAAAAAATGGGGGATTTGCATTTTCATGAAATTAACTGTTGCAAAGTTATTTGGCAACCTGCTTTGCAACGGCAATTCTGCAGGTGTGCAGGAAAGACAATGTATGGTGCTTGTTACTGGTGTCAGTTATGGAGAAAAGGTCCTGGGGCAAAATCTGTTTGTGTAGAAGCGCTGAATAAATTTACTTTTGGTTCAGGTTTATAATCTCGTACAGCTGGTCCCAATGCATTTAATAAGATATCAGGCTCATAGTTTGTGTAAGGCTTATATGCCCAACTTTGACATGACAATGAAAAGATTAGAGCCAAGGGTGTCGGAAATTGGTTTAAACTGGTGCTTGGCAAATTCTCCAATAAGAACTCAGGCATGTATGTTCATGTCAGGTTTGGGATGTCACTCTGTTTGTAGGGGAAATGCTTATGCAGCTCTCTTGAGTGTTGTGTTAGACCTGTTCGGCCAGTTTTATCAGGTAAGGTGAGGGAATGTAAACCACACATGTGCACAAGATCTTGCAAGGCTATTTTTCTGCAGATTGCTAATTCTTAGCTTTAGGATTTCTCCATTTTCACGTTGAAAGATCTATTTCATGATCCCACCACTGCATAAACTGTGCAAGGTGCTTCACCCAAAACATGTTTCATTCCCTGTGTCATCCAAAGTTTAATGGGATAGTTCCCCCCCAAAATGAAAATAATTTACTCACCCTCATGTTGTTCCAAACCTGTAGGCTAAGGCCCCGTCCACTCTACTGCGTTTTCGTTTAAAAACGGAGACCTTTTGCTACGTTTGCACCTCCCGTCCACACTAAAACGGCAAAAACGGAGACCCAAAACGGAGAAGTTTAGAAACGCTGCCGATCCGTTTTTCGTTTTGAATCTCCGGAGGGCGTTTTAGTGTAGACGGGACAAAACGGAGAACTTTAGAAACGATGACGTAGTAGAGGCTCACGCTCGGCTCTATGATTGGGTTTCATCAGTCATGGTGTATATATTTGCTAGCAGCTGTTGTACAAGTAAATTCTGCATTTTACAACACTATAACTGCCTACATGCGCCGGAGTCAAGCTATTATTCGAGCGATCTGTGACAATTCCCGTGTGCAGCGGCGATGTTGACCGTACATGGAGCGTTGGTTTGGGGTTAACCCAGAGCATGGTGGGATCATTTTATCAATGAAGTTGTGTTTACACCGGCGCGCGCATGCCCAGTGTTGGTGAATGGTCACGTGATCCGCGTTTTCAGTCGTTTTAATGTGGACGGAGATCAATTCTAATACGCAGCTAAAACGCTGGTGTGGACGGAAATCGTATTCGTTTTAATTATCCGTTTCTAAACTAAAACGCAGTAGTGTGGATGGGGCCTAAGACTTACTTTTTCAGTAACACAAAAGAAGATATTTAAAAAATATGGACAGAAAAAAATAACACTGTGAATTGTTTCCTAATATGCTTCTTTTTGTGTGTCTCACAGATGACACAAGGCTGAGTAGCCTAAGTGATGACATAATTTTCATTTTTGGGGGAACTGTCCCCTTAGGAGAGCCTATAGTACCTTTTTGGCACTGTTCAGGCTCCTGTTTGTGGGAAAGCACGTGGCGGTTGATATCTTATGTCCGGCACAAGGCTGGGAAGACCGATAGGACCTGAGGAAAGCATTCCCACTCCTTTGGAGCAAAGCACAAAGAGCCTTCCTGTTGCTTTCCTCTCCTCTTTTGACCCCTGGTCGACCCTACCAATCAACAGGGCTCAGTTGTGACCTCTAACCTGGCCTCCGTCTCCAGTCTGCTGCCGACTGACCTCTCCTTTAGAACAACAGAGGGAGGAAATAACAAGTGATATAGCCAGATGTCCAAAGCCTCTTCCTCACATTGCTGCAGCCTCTCCAAAAGGAGAAAACTGCACCAACTGGACCTCACAGGATTTTGCTGAGGTTTTCCAAATGCAGCATAGAAGCTTGCTTTGTGTCTGTTCAGAAAACAATGCAGAGATACAAGGTTATTTTTAGAAATAAAATGTGCAAGCATTTCCTAATGTGTCTGAGGCTGAGCATGATATGTATGGTGCCTCGAGTCTGAATGTCTTTTGCTTAGTTGGACAGTCTGACCTTCTCAAACCACAATCTTCGTGTTTATTTTATATAATGTTAGAAAAGGTAATATGTTGGCCTGTAGCTAGACATGCTAAAACTGTACGTGTGTGTGGTGAGGATGGATGGTGGTTAGACTGAATTCATCCTTCTGGAACTGCATAAGGCTGTTTATTGAGAGAGGGAATAGTTTGCTTGCTCGCAGGGAAACGGCTGGTGAACAGTAACTCATCAAGGGAATACACTCGACATAAGTGAAAACATACTCAAACTAAAATCATCAGACAGGGAATGACAAATCAGCTGCACTTTCATTAGGAAAACATCATTAACAGTGGTTGGTGTTGTGATTGAGTTCTCGTGTCGGTTGAAGGCTGTTTACCACAAGGCATTCCGACTGCAAACTAGGACATATTAAAAATCCGTCTTGGAAAAAGTTGTTGGAGTTATTTTTGTTTACATGGTACTGTGAGAACAGTTAACTGTGGTAAATCAAGGTGATGTTTGTAAAGTCTCATATCTCGGATAAGGATAGCTAGATGTCTAGATTAGTGCTCTTACTTGGAGATGCCATATTGATATGACCCCTGTTCTCGGATCAACATTCACACTCTGAGAGAACGCACTCTGAAAGGGAACAGACTTTACTTTTTGTCCTTATGGTTTCAGTTACTGCCATTTGAAAGCTGGACTGCCTCCAGCTGGGTTTGATCTCCACTCATATTTGCAATGAAAGTTCTGGAAATGAGTTGTAGATGTAAACTGATAATGTTAAGGCAGATATAAAAATCTGTGGACTACATAATTTCCATAAAATTGCCTGCAGCATGAGATTTATTTTAGGAAATAGCAACATCATTACAACATGTTTGTACAAACACATTTTTAATGCATTTAATTATAAAAACCGATATGACGTGTTGTTTATAATGTTAACTAACTATTGCTAATAAAATATCACATCACATTTATAATATTATGGGCCTCGGTTGTTTAGCGGTGCCTATATGACTCTGGCCATTATGCAGTCATTTTCGAAGCACCTGGTTTCTCGTGCAAGAGCAGGTTGTTTTCTAGACAGACTTGTGTATCCCTTCATTGGTGAAACTCTGCCAAGACATACATTGAGTGAAGTTTCATTAACCGTTTACAGTTCTGCTATAGCCAACCACATTTTTTTCTCTCATTGCTCTGCATTGTGGGATAAATATATGGTAAATGGTGAAGTCACAGTTATGATTGTTTAGAAACCTTATTTACTTAATTTTCTCTTAGCCAGTATAAAAAAATGTTACAAAATATGCTGGCCGTTATACTGTATGTTCGTAACTTAAAGAAAATGGAAAATAAATAATATCTCAATGCTTTAAAAGATCTCTGCTGTTGAGGGCTTGCAATACTGTTGTTGTGAGTTGACTGGTTGCTACTCTGCTTGCATAATTTTGAGTATGAATATTCCTCACTCAGAATACAAAAGAATGGTGATATAAACAACAAAGAATTTTAGATGTGATAAAACCCTGAACTTTACAAAGCAAGAACCTAAAGGTGAGCACAGAGAACTAAAATGACAAATAGTAAAAAATCATGCAACCACATTATGTATTCAACTTGCAGTGCATTTTAGGAACCTAAGCACCAGCAGAGTACTGTAAACATATCCTATTACACTTAATCTGTAAATATACCAGAGGATACTGTACTGCTACATCAGTCATTTTCCTGGCCTGGTTTACTGTTATTTTCTGTAATAAATTGTAGGAAAATACTGTAATTTGTCTTTATTATAATCCCAATTGGTCAGTCAGTTTTATTGGATGGGGATGTTGAAAATTAAATCAGCAATAAGGCAAGAAATATATCTGTCCCATTATTCTGCTATGATGTTTTCTTAAAGGATCATAAGAATGAATGTATTATGGTGATTTGTTGAAAGAGCTTTGGGGGAACATCTCTAATGGCTGATCTTCTGATAGTGGTGGAACTATCTGGCCTCTGGATAACACAGACCAGATATGCTGATTTACGAGCTTCTCCGCTTTGTCCCACAGGCAGGCGATGGTGAACAGCCGTGTGGAATCCACCGCCGTCGCGGTAACAGGAGGTAGCGGGGCAGTGCGTTCCTGTGCAGGCTGCGGAGGTCGGATCTCGGATCGCTTCCTGCTCTTCTCCATGGATCGGTACTGGCACACGCGCTGCCTTAAGTGCTCCTGCTGCCAGGCTCAACTGGGAGAGATCGGCAGCACCTGCTTCAGCAAAGGAGGAATGATCCTCTGCAGGAATGATTACATCAGGTACTAAATGAAATGGGCAGTCAGGGATTTGGTGGGATTGAGATAGAAATGTTGAATAAGACCGAATAAATGATGTTCCTGGTCACTGCATCAGTTGTAATGTGTTAGACGAGGAGGACTGGAAACAAATCAATAAAATGTCATTGATTTGTGAACTTCATCGCTGTTTTATATCAGTTGAGACATCCATATCTCCTTTCCAGATTTAGTAGTGCTTCAAGGCTACGTTCACACCGTCAGTCCAAATCCGATTATTTGTGTATCCGATTGGAATCTGATCTAAAATTGACTGTCCACATTGTATAAAGGAACTGTTCAGATCCAATTTGTGTGTCCATGCCACTCTTTCGTTTTCTGGAATATCTGCATTGGTTTCTATGGCAATGGCGTTGCGTTGGTAGGTAGGTATACGGCAAAAACAACAGCAACCGTAACATGGAGGGGTTTGCAATAGAGATGTTGTTTTCGTCGGCACCGATAGCCTCATAGGGAGCGTGCCGAAATATAGCGCCGTTGCGCTACGGGTGACTCGAGTTCGAATCCCGGCTCGTGGACCTTTCCCGATCCAGTCCCCCGTCTCTCTCCCACCTCGCTTCCTGTCCACTCTATACTATACTATCCTATCACCAAAAAAAAGAGATGTTGTTTTCTTTACAACATGACAATGTGTAGCCGCCGCGCTGGACTACTGTCTTCTGAGGCAGCGGCAGAACCATAGGAGGCTAGTATGAGTGGCTTTATTCCGTGCTGTCGTCTCTGCTGGTTTCAAAACCTGTCTCTGCTCGTCCGGCACTTTGCAACAACACAACCTGGTTTCTGCAGCGACTTTCAGCAGGTTTCCTATAACAACGTTTGACGTTTATGTTTTACGTGGCGTGAGAAAGTCACATTAACCACACAAAATCAGCAGTCAGACAGAAACGGATTTCAAGAAATGCCATTTGAATAGGATTTCAAACCACATATGAATGTGTAGCTTAAACCTAATTTGTAAAAATCACATTTCACATGATTTTTTTTTTTTTGCCGTTCACACTTGCTAAATCTGATCGGTTTTCAATAGAATATACACAAAAATTGTGTATTTGGACTGACAGTCTGAACGTAGCCTAAGTTCAAGTGAATGGTCTGAAAGGCTCAGGATATTTAGACGGGCTTCCACAGACTTGTAAATTTGTGCTTCATATTTAAACACAAGAAAACCGATAAATCCCTCCACACTACCATATCTTGCTACCACTTCATGCATCAAACAGCCATTTTTTTGTGTGTTTATGACGTTAGTTATCTTGTGCAACTTTTGGTTGTGCAAGGTTTTTCTATTTATTGTTTAATAGTTTTGTCCAAGATCAAAGTGTAAAGTTTAACACATATTTAAATGAGTAAACCACATGTTAATATATCCATTTGTGAAAATAATTTTCAGATTTTTAGTGCAGCGTCTGTCATACTTATTTTAGACATCTTTTCTGTGGCAACACATTGGAATATATGTTACTGCGTGAACTGTAACAGGACAAGAAAAGTTCACCAATTATGACAGGAAGTGTGTGGGTGCATGTAACATGGCATCTGTAGCAGCCAAGACTCCCCAGATGTTTTTCATGTGCTGTACACTGCTTTAGATTCAAGCTGTATTGTTTAACCACACAGTCCGTGATCAAATTAGAACTACGCAGAATTGTATTTTTTTTTCACAAATTTTGACTAGTCTGCAAAACAAACGTAACCTTGATTTGCAAACCCTAACAATTGATTGTTTATTTTTATGGCAGTTTTAGCTGAGGTCCATGATTGCATATGTGCCATATGATGATTATTAGATTACATAACTCTTTGATTGAATTTGGCCTCTATTCCCTTGTATATTTTGAGCTGAAGGCTCCAGAGGTGAGGAGATTAGATTGGTTTATAATCGCTGAGGCTTTGAAATTGACCTCTGTGTGTTTGGATGTGTGCAGTGATGCATTGGTCCATGACGGCACGGCATTGTTGCCTGTAAGACCCACTCTGGTTTGTTTGGACCTCAACCAGGGATGTCTGACTATTTGGCATTGCCACGCAGATGGTTTTTTTTGGTGTGCCTGTGATTGCTGTAGAAGTGCCAGAGATGCCTGATCAAAAGTCAAACAATCTTTCTGACCCCAAAATCAAAAAGAAACTGTGCAGTCCTGCCATATTTGAAACTAATATCACTGATGCAAAATATCTGTCATAGTTGTAAAAACAGTATTTTTTGTTTTAAATGTGTATTAATATAATTGATTAATATTAGCTATTATTTTATATTAATGTATTTGATATGCATTTTATACTGATATGAAATAATGATAATTATTAATTCATATTTATGAATGTTTTCATATTATTATTGATGAACATTATTAATATACCTATATAATATTATAAATGGGTTTGAACGTGCATGGGACAAACTCAGGTTACAAATAATATAAAATCTAATTTTATAATTTATAATTGTATATTAGATTCCTATCAAATATTATTTAATTATTTATAATTATTCTATGTACATTTAGATTTATTATTATTAGTTGATGTAGTATTCATATTATTATGCATTAATATACCTAGCCTATATAAATAAAAATAGTTTGTGGGACTGACTGAACTGGTAAAAAATAAATAATACAAATATTATTATATTATTGATTATATTAATTCAATATAGTGTATATTATGCCTATTTTATATAATTTTTCACCAGTTCAGGTCTCCTTAATAGTTACTGCACAATGACTCACAACAAGTTTCATTGTTTCATTACAAGTTTTGGTTAACAACTCAAGTGAGAAAGAAAATACTTTTTTTTTCTCGCAAAGGACATCTCTTACAGCACTAATTCAGCAAGCATGTTATAAGTGTCAAGAGTGGTCTTGGGGATATTCCCTTTAATAGTGCATGTAAGGTGTACTCAATCTGCAGTGTATTAAATATGTATAATACAGCTAATCAAAAGGGCAGAGCTTCATTACCAAATGACACCGCGTGGAGCCTGAGGTCTGATAAAAGTAGGGTGCATTAATTAGGGAGAACAGAGCTCCTTTCTGCTGTCTCTTATTAAATTACTGTTTGGATTAAGATCAAAAATTCATTACTGCGAGCAGTCAGAGCTGGGACAGTGATAGCGGAGGAGGGGTAGAGAGAGAGAGAGGGTAGGGGGAAGGGGAAGGGGAGAAAGTGAGGTGGTGAGAATCAGCTGCCAAACTGGTCTGGTTACCGTCACAAAGACCCCTGAGAGGGAGCGGAAGAAATGTTTCCTACTGAAACATGACTGTGACATGGTGGCTCCAGGTGTTCTGAATGAAAACAAGTTGTTTGTGTGCATATGTGTGCGAGTGGAATGCTTGTATGTTGCGTGTTGTTTGTGTGCATCTGGGTTTCATCTCTACGACCGAGTGTGTGTGTGTCCTTTTAGCTCATCAAGAGCACGACTTGAACTCATTTGAGTGTTCTCCTAAAATTGCCTATAGCAACCTCAAGCACAGGCAGCAGAGTAATCAAGTGCACCCTAATTAGGAGCCAAGGGTGGATCAGAGGCTCTTATAGCCACCCCCCACCCATTGCCACCAATTACACTGCCTCTCCAGATTAGCTGATAGGCTGCAGTCTAAGGACTATTAGGGCTTTGGTGCCCTGCCATCCAAGCCACGCACGCACAAACACACACATTGCAAAGCACTCAAACTTCAAGCTATGGGCGTAAAAGTGAATTTCACTTGTGTGGAATGAAAAGAAGTGAATTAAGAACTTATAGAAGTTTTATTTTCAGGATGGTTTGTGTGTCATTTTGCAATAAGTTAAACCGTATTTATCCCTCAAGTGAGAATGTCAATTAAAGAAACATGTTAAAACATATCAATGTTGACTTGGTTTCAGCTGATCTCTTGTCATTCTTTTAAAATATTCTTGTTAGTATTAATTGCTGTTTTCCCCCCACTGTGCAGGTTGTTTGGTCACAGTGGAGCCTGCAGTGCATGTGGACAGTCTATCCCTGCCAGTGAGATGGTGATGAGGGCCCAGGGTAACGTCTACCATCTAAAGGTGAGCCATAGTCTGTTGTCAGCAAATGCTCATTTTTATCTGATTCATCTGTGCAGGTTTTAAAAAAAAAAATTTATGAGCTCCTCATTTTTAAACAAAATATAACTCGATCTTCTGGTGACATGCCAAACTTTAACAATATCAGCTTAAACCCCGCCCCTTCACATTTCACAAGTTCACATTTAGATCTGCCTCCATCCAATCAATAACCAAGTCCCTGTCCTACAAATTTTTTTTTGTCTTTTTCATAAATCGGTTTCACACAGATGGAAGAAAAAAATCTGGCCATACTTTCATTTTATCCAAGAACGAAATATTAGTAACAAACCAACAAAAAATAACAAGATCAGAATATAAAAAAATGGCCAAATAAATGTAATTATACACTGAAGTGGTACACCATTTATTGTATAATATATATAATGCATGGTAAGGGTGTTCCGATCAGGATTTTTGGGTCCGATTACCGATCACAGAAAGTAGTATAATCTTTATTTTTATCATGTAGCATTATTTATAGGAATGCTCTTAGAATTTTACAGACATTTAATTCAAGGCCTAAATTTCATTTTGGAAAATGGAGTGAATTCCCCCCTTAATTTTGCAACAAAAAAAAAGTTAATTACAATAGGACAATTTTGTTGCACAATATCTTACACACAGCACAAGCTTGATTTTAAACTGGATTGAATTTACAAAAAAGACAAGTAAACAGTCAGTAATAAAATAATAACCAATAAACAAATTACAAAGAGTAGGACAAATAAATGCAATAATAATGATACAAAATAAATAAACAGTGCTTTAAGATTTCTTTTAGTAACAGTTACAGTAGTGTTCAGGTAAGAAATAGTAAATAAATTGAATAGAGAATCAAATGTAACATATGAATGGAAAGTCTTCCCTGAGTAAATTAAATACAGATTAATCATATTTAAAGTTACAAAAGATATACAGTCAAGAGCAGTGAGTGATTTTTCCTTTTCTTTTGTTTGATTAACATTAATGGCACAAATGGCAACAGGAATATTAAGCTGCTGTCACTTTAAGACCTTTAAGAACAGTGAACTGCTGATAGTGCAGATGTGAAGCCATTTGTGCATTTTAAGAGCGCGCGATAAATTCACTCATGCCGTTTGTGAAGTCACTTCTCACAAAGTTTTCAAAAGTTATTAAATAAAGATGTATGAATTGTACCTCACCTTTAGCATTATATTTTTTTTTACCCGCACTGGACAAAGATTGAGACGGCGCCGCTGCAAGTCCTCTCACGGTAGGCGCGTATCTTTTTGCGTTGTCAGCATGAGATCGGTTTCTGAGACCGGCAAATTGAGAGATTGCCGATCGAGTCTTTAGTAGTGATTATCGGCAAAGAGCAATCTGTATGCGATCAATCAGAGCACCCCAATGTATGGATGGGTAGTAATTTGTCATAGACTCTAATTTAAATTATTTACAATAGTCATCAGACTTAACTCTTTTTACAGACTTGTTATGACTAAATGACTAAACCTGCTCATTTGTGATCAGACTAGCTGATGCCTAGACACCTTCCAGTATGGGGAAGAAAAAAAATCACCATTTGAAGAATTACGTATGCAACATCCTTGTACACTTGTATGGTTACAATTTCTGAACCAGTCCCAAACATAAGGGAATTTGTTTTGTACATTGCAATTACCTAATTCCCTTTGACATTGGCATGTAAGCCAGCAGGAATTGCTCAACATAAGCTTGAGACAATGTTTAATAGCTAGATTTATGAAATGTTATTTCTTTTCGAGTATTGTATTGCAACTCCCTCAAGACTGGAAGTTGAAAGACTGAAATGCATAATTCTTGCAAAACAATGACTTGGACCCACACACCCATATCTCTAGAGTGAGAATTAGAGGCATTATTGTATTAACGTATGCGTTTATGCTTCTCATTATTTGGTTGGAATGGAAACATCCAGTCTCTTTTTTGGGAAATCTGTTTCTTTGAATTGTCAGCTAAAGTCTCGCTTTTACTGAACACGGATAGCAGGATAGTCTCAAGAGACGCCTGCCGAAACTCATCAACTAACCATTTTCCCAACTGCGCCACACATTCCTCCTTAATTATAGTGGTGTAGGTGTCAACCTGTCTTAATAATATTTGATTGGAAAAGGAAACCATTCCCTGGTTAAGCTGAGTGGTTCGGTTTGGTTTCCCAGTGGTCCTTGTTTGCATAAGTTTTCAAAATTGGGTAACTACATCCTGACAAAATTTCTAATTTGTGAGTGTCTGAAGAAATGTGAGCTTGGAGTGTAATAGATTTTTTCAAACAATGCAAATGTACCATATGTGTAGGTACTCTGGTGTCGCTCATTTCCCTATTTCTATCAATAGTGGAAAACTACTGTTTATTTATAGGACTTTTCCCTCATATTGGTGGTTTAATTTCAGGCTGTTTAAAGGTAGGGTATGGGATTTGCAAAACGGCCGGCAGATTTTGAAAATACACAACTCAAAAGGTCCTACCTTCTTTCCTCCAACGCTGGCCCTGACTCCACCCATTCGAAGAACATGGACGAGCAATCATGCATCTGCAAAACTCAGATGCGCGAGATTGCACTTACTCTCTCTCTGTGCCGGGGCGACTTGCACTTACTGTGACTGGGTCACGAGCTTTGAGCATGCGCACGAAGGGGACATGGTACGACCGTTTGATTGACGCACTTACAGTCCAATGATTCTAGATGGTCTTGGAAATGATTGGCTGGAGTTTTTCGAGTCCTGCCCGTTCCACAGATGATTAAATTGCTTAATTTTCATTTCAGTGCTTCTAACTCAGTAAGTGGGTTAGGAATAGGATTTCAAGTGATTTTGAAAAAATGGTCAAAAAAGAAAATCACATACCCCACCTTTAAAGTGAGATAATGAAAATTCACAGTCGCTGTGTCAAAATAGGCCTACTTCCATGCTATATAGTAGGCGAAAAACAGTATATGAGCCGAGTAGTATGTCCGAATTCATAGTATTCATAAAACAGTAGGCGAAAAGTACCCGGATGACCTACTACTACCACCAAGATTTTGAATTGCGCATTCGATGGACACTTTACTATCCCATAAGGCCACAGGAGAGGATTTGTGAATGGAGGTGAAGCGACGCAACTGATGCTGTAGGTCACATGATAATGACAACATGGCGGATGTAGTACGTCCGAATTTCATTCATGTTAGAACATAGTTTTGTTTTTTTACTGTCAAGTTTCAAACCAAATATAGTACCTACTATACAGTATGCAATTTCGGATGCAGCACCCATCTATTTTGCAAATGTATCTCATTGATCTTGTGAACTAGTTATGTTTTTTTTTTTTACTTTTGTAATCAAAATGTCATGACTCAATCTTTCGCTTAAACATCCCCTTTCTTAAGCTCGCATTCAGCCGATCTGCCTCTATCCAATCAACAATTGATTGATTGAATCAAGTTACTACACTTCTTCTTTTTTCTTCTCAATAATCTATTTCACTCAGAAGTGTCGCATTATGGAACTTCCGTTTCACTCGACTTTAATACTTTTTTTTTGTGGTAAAATTGACTTGTTTTATTAAATGAGATGCCACAGTGCCAGTGAAATAAAAAAAAATATTTTTTCTCTTCCAGTGTTTCACTTGTGCCACATGTCGAAATCGCTTGGTGCCTGGTGACCGATTTCACTACGTCAACGGCACCATCTTTTGTGAGCATGACCGGCCTGGTGGAGCTTTGCTCAGTAGTCACCTGACACCCCTGCAGAGCAACACCCTCCTACCCGACCAAAAGGTATGATGAAAACACATTTTGTAAATGTACATTTTATGGTACCAGATGATAGAAAAACATGTTAAATGAGAGAGATGACTATATTGCATTATTCTTCCTAGTTGGAAAACAAACTGATTGGCTACTTGGTTCTTTTTACACAGGTTTGCTGAGGAAACATGGATGTATAATTTGCGGTGTGCCTTTTCTTCATATTTTTCCTCACCTCTTCCATCCAATCTATCATTGTGAATGTCCACGCCACTTTTGTGCATTCAGCCACCTTAGAAGAATTCGGAACCACGCAAGTACTGTGAGTCACTTGCGAGACAATCACCCCATCGAGGGAAACCTAATCAAGTCGAAGAAAGACACAGAAGCTAAAAAGGATCATGTGCACTCATATGTGGTCTGTCTGGTTATGGCTGGGATAGCCTGACCCTGAAAGCCTTAGACTCCATAAAAGAGCAGCTCTATAATGCTGGGGTGATGCTCAACATGATTTTGTTCCCCTTTGAGAAGTTTCTCAAGGGATGTTGTGGACGTTACCTGGCATTTTGGACTGTGGGGTTCTATGGATGATGATTGATATCACTTCTTGTCCATAAAACGACATCCATACATAAAAAGACTGTTAAAAATGACCATTTTGTTGCAGTGGTGGTTGCCTTTTGTTTACAAGCCAAGTTTTATCTTTCTTTTTTTGAAAATGTTCTGTCGTCTTTGGTGCCTAAAATATTTTTATGTCCAGTTTTCCCTCCTTTGTCATTAACTTCCTATTAGCAAGTAATCATACACATGCACAGTACAGTACAGATACGTGAACATGTATTGTTACGTCTACTCAAGTTTGACGTATGAAGCGCTCTTTTTGAAAGGGTCGTAGTCTCCAGATGAAACAGCATGTTTTTTTCCCCCCAATGGTTTGGTAGAATAAATTCTATGTCTGTATGCATATTCTCTAAGAGAGACTGTTATTCAGTGTCTGCCAAGACATTTGATGTGAGTGTGAGGGAGATTGAGAGTAAAATTGTATATATTTCATGTGCTGTTGTATCGTGTTCAATGGTTGACCTGTTTCCTTGTGTCCTCTTTTTAAATAGAGGAACCATTAAAAAATAAGATATCTGTAAAAAAAAAAAAAGTACTTAATTAAATAACTATAACCATCAAAAATGCTGCCTTGACATCTCTGCTCAGTGTACATCAACATTTGATGGTTTTGGCTTGGTGTGTTGGACACTCACTAGATGTCGAGACGGCTCTCCAATAGTCCCTGGCCAAAAACATGGTTCATTACCCTCCAGATTTCAACACAAACTCTTGCGTCTGCATCATTACAGAGAGTAATGAAAGGCATTTGAGTTGGCACTTTCTCTTTCTCTTGCCGTGATTTCAATCCGTGGGTCTTGCTAAAAGGAGGTCTCCTTTCTCCTGTGCATCTTTGTGAACGTCGCTACAGAAATAACCGTTACGCTCCCGCCCTTTTCTTTCATCTGGCCCTCCTCTTAAGATTTCATTGACTTCTAAATCTGCCTTTTTCTGATCAGATTTGCAGGGGTATATGAGATGTTTTCTCATTATGACATTTCTGGTAATTGCTTTTTGGCATTAAACTCTCCAATATCTTGTTTATTTAATTAGCTAATTAAACCTATCTCTCTTTTTTCAACCAACTATGGCCTGCACTCACAAGGTGTTCCCTTCCAATTTACTTTTACGATTAATAAAAAAAAATCCTTTCCCTTGTGTTTCTTATAAGAAAAATAGAAGCCAAGCATACCTCATTATGGCTGTTGGTGGGTGTGTATGTGTTGGGTAGGGGGTGTAAAAGCCAGCTGTGACTCTTCACATTGAAGTATTCTGTGTGTGTTTGTGGGATCTTAAAAGTCCCGAGGTTAGATCATACTAAAAAAAAAGTTCAGTGTATTTCCCTTTATATTATGAAATGTTTATTACTTTTAAATAGATATGTATTGGGGACAGCCAGATGTTATTTTTTAATGTCATCACAGTGCAAAACACTTTTATAATTTTTTCAACAGAGTAAAATCATTGTGATTTAATGTCATTACTCTTTTTAATGTTGAATATAAACTTTATTATATGTATAAAAAAAAAAAAATCTACTTTTTATTTATTTTTACAGTTAGTATATACAGTACCCTGGTGGTGTGCATAAAGGGTCAACTTGGTAAATAGACAAAAAAAATTTTATGGTATAAGTGGTCCTTTGAACATTAAAATATACAGCTGTGTTACGAATTCAATATTAACTCTTAACATGTATTTTATAATGTAAGTCCCTCGCATTAGGATCATATTTGGGGGTCAGTAGCATCAAAAAAAAAAAAAAAAAAAAAACTTTGATCACAGATATCATTGTCAGAGCAAACATAAGTCAGAAAAAAACACATCTTGAAATAAAAGCTGCTTTGTGTTAAACGCATTATGGTGAAAGCTTACAGTATTGGGTCCATGCACTGTACTTAAGATTCAGTGCTCCATAAATATTCTGTGGCCTGAGATAGTTAAGGGAAGTATCAGAGAAATTCATTAACTTATGCAAATGATCCTAATTGCAATTATCTCCAAATCTTGTTAAGTGAGAGGAGGGGTTAGTGAATCTCAAAAAATAAAATAAGAACTCCCTTGGCCATTCGAGTAGCTCTTTGCATTCAACCCGATCATGCTTCAACTGTGCATTTCTAATTAGTCTGACATATTCAAAAGCCAATTAACGGTCTCTCAAATCAGAGCTATACCACAAGGTTTTGCCAACTTGTAAAGGAAGGAGAAACTTTATTTTTAAGTGTGCTGATTTAAAGAAGCCCTTGTCTGTGAGGACATGCACGCAGTTTCCCCCCTTCTTTTATTCAATTCTCTAATTAATCCAATTAACACATGCAAATTGGTGTAATTACATTGTTTCCTCACCTCATGTTGTGTGAAGATGGGGAAGAAGCTGAACAGATGAAGAAGGGATATTTTTTTATCAGACAGTGAGGAATGCACAGACCGTAGACTTCTACATTACTCCTCAACACAACTACCCAATCACGGCAATAGGCTAGTACTGCTACTACAGGTCAATGGGTCGACCACATTGTGACAACCTACAACATAAAGACTATAACAATGGATCATGCATCGTTCTTTGTGCAGTTTATTCTTTAAAAATATTCAGACAATAAAAGGCTCAGAACTGAATTAACTAATATAAATGAATACCTTGAATGCAATGTAAGTCGCTTTGAATGAATGCATCTGCCTAGTGCATAAATATATAAAATAATAAAGTTGTGGAAGCAGCTTAAATAGTTCTTTGTGCATCATTTTATCATTCATTAACTCCCACAAGTGGATGAGAACACTGACACATTGTAAGAAGCCCAATATAATATCCCTGTGTAATTAAATGTGTGCTAACCACAGCCACAGTAACTAACTCTAATAACTCAGAGACGTCCCACAAAGGCACACAAATCTGAAAATCGAATCCAATGCTCAGTCATTTAATATAATAAGTCATAGGAGAAGGCTTTTGGTTTAATACCCTGCTTGTGCTACGCAGTGACCTGAAACTCTTGTGCACCGCTATCTTTTGTTTCAGCAGCCAATGGAGTCAGATCCTGTTGCCTGCCTCTGATATGACTATGACCAGGCCTCCTTACTTGTCTCTGATCTGTTTTTAAGCTGCCAGCATCATAAACTCCACAGCTGTTTGGCTTCGGTGGCAGAGAAGCAGTGGAGAAGAGTGCCAAACCGCATATTGGACAGAAAGAAACGGGGAGAGGCTGAAGACGTGTAAGGAAACTTTACAATCAGTTTAGACTCCCTGAATGCTGATTGTACAGTCTTCTTCAAGATGAAACGATATACTGTGTGATGACAGATAAAAGATCAAATTCAGAGTATACCTTATTAAAGTGACATGACCTGAAGGCCAAGTACGGTATACTGCACATAGTGAGTAGTGAACACAAACTGTGGACACACACATCAGAAGGAGTGAGCAGCCATTTCAAGCAGACGAGCCCAGAATATGAACGCAAAACACCGAATTTCTTTATAATGGTTTTCTATGGAAAAATGCTAAATGGGAAACTGTGTGTTGCCTTAAAATTCTAGGTTTATCTGCTTGCCTGTACATAGTATGTTTTATTAATAATGACACGTGTGTTTTTCATATCAAGCATTTTACACACAAACTCTCTGTCTGACTTGTGTGATTTTTTGTTGTTGTTGCACAGCTAAAATAACTGGAGATGCCTGACACCGAAAGCATTACACATTTAAATTTAAAATGGCAGTGCCTTGTCTTACATTAAAAATAAGGTGGAAAGAGAATATAAATGTTATCATTTCTGTGGTATTTGTATCAGTCTTTGCGTTTGTTTCTTTTAGGTTTCATTCAGGTCTCCTCTGTTGGCGTAGAACTGGCTAGGCGGCGCCGTGACAAAAAAAACGAGGGTCCTAGAACTGCGGTCCTGAAACTGCAGGAATATAGTATTGGAAATACAAACTGATCAATAAAATGTAATGTCACTCGTTGCTTATTGTGGTTGCGGCTGGTTAAGACACAATGCTATCCCTTTCTTTTTTTAAACAGATAAATTAACCAGGAAAAAGAAAAAAGGGTAAAGGTTGAGGTGTTACTGGCAAAATTGAAAGACAGGTCAGCCCTCATTAATGGCTCTCATTAGCAGACTTAGCAGAGCAGTTATTGTTGCTAATGATCATAACTGCTTTACTTAGGCCAGCCGGAGTCAGCAAACAACACCAGAGAGCAAGTGTCTGTTTTTATTTGGCAGATATATATTGTGAGGATATAATTTACTGACAGTCAGAGTACAATTTTGGTTGTCAGCTCATCTTAGTACCAAGGGATTTATGTGGTGGTCTCGCCCCTCAGGGACACAAGAATAGGCTCAGTAGACACTGTTGTCCCAGCAGCAGGGGGTGTGAGGTCACTTAAGCTCAGTGCTTAAAGTGGGGGGAAATAAGTGCCGGTACTCTCTTGTGCACCGGCTGGCATATGCAAATCAGTATCACATTTG